AGTATTCTCCCATTCGTACGTCGTGTGCTTTCTTATAAATCTTACCAAATTAAAATAATAATCGGTACCATATCAAAAACTGTATCCTCATTATTTCAAATGTGCTCTGTGTTGTTGTTCCTGTTCTTGTATTAATAATACATACACGTGCACTGAAAAAAAAAAGAACTTTTCCATCTAATAAACATTTTTTGACTTCCATATATAGGCTTATGCAACTTTTTGAGCGATAGCAGACGTCATTATGCATGCATATCAATTTTTTTTATAATAGCTAATAAATTATTGATGATAGCCATAATTAATAAGGGGGTATGGTTTGGAAACCTTTTGTTGCAATTCTTTTGTACATCTTTTGTATGTATTTTGGGGTTAAACCAGTCATGACCGTGCACAACCTCTCTTTTTTCACTGGAAGTGATCAATTTCCATAGTATGTGAAAATCATGGAATTCTCGATTTACATGAATTTTACACACTATGTAAATTTGTTAATTAACACAGAGATCATGGGAAAACCATGTCAATTACGAAATAACGAATAATATTAAAATAATCTCATAGAGAGTGTTTATGTTTACAATTAATTGATTTTTAATATATTYAAAAAAAATGAAATAATTCATTATTGGTTAGAAAATTTTGTGCATTTTAAAGGAATAGTCATAACAATAATTTCCACTCTGTTTATTCAAATGTGGCCAGTATGGCTAAAACAATAATTAAACAAAGATTGTGCACTGTCACGCTTATGGAAAAAAATACACAAAAACCTACATCTAATCCATATTTCTTATTTATCCTGACCCCACTTGTAATTCGGTCATGCTTTTGCTGCAATAAGTGGAAATAAACAAATCTATCTATCTATCTAAAAGGCTTTACTAAAGATTTCCCTCTACAAAGTATACAAAAAATATAGTATCATTGCCAAAAATTTAGTATATGGTATTTTATTTAGTTATCATATACTATTTTAAAACTTCAGTTGCTTGGAGAAGCTTACTCATTAATTATTTCCGTATGTGCATTTGCCTGCTTTCTTCAGCTGCTTACTCATATGAACGTTAATTATCAAAAAAAGTGACAAAAAAGGTAAAATTATCATAAAGAGGGCAAATATTCCGACAACTAGAGGGAAAAAATTAATGATTATCTTACAAAGTGATTGATCTGTCTCATAGCTTTAATCGTGTATTTCGGACGCCCGTCTAGGATGTCTAGTGAGCTTTTAGTAGTTCCTGTTTGAARCAAGAATGTTAAAAACTTCTTAACATTCATCACTCCGAATGCTAAAGTAAGCATGGTTTACATTTTCATTTGTTGTCTTTCTGTTGTTTATTTCTTCTTGTTTGTCTTTATGGTTCTATATCAGTATGCTCTATATCAGTATTGTAGTTACAGTATCTGTATTATTCTCCAGTCAAACAAGAGTAAGATTTGAAAAYCATTCTCATGTAAGATCATGACTGCATTTGTATTGGTGACTCATTTTTTTCACTGAATTAACCTAGCCATACATCTGTTCAGTGATTAATCCTGTATATTGGATTCAAACTATTTGGAAGCATGTAGATGGTTAAGTGTAGAGTCTAAGATATAGTTTAAAATTACATCACTCACAAATATTAGGCTCCCTTCGGAACTGTGTGCGCGTTCACAATTTGGATTCTCTGGATCTTTTCTTATTTCTGAACAAAAAKAACTTTATGGGCAGAAAAAAAAGTCCTAAACAGAGATATCGTCAAACTTGACATAACCCATGTAAACTTAGTCTAAAAGTATGTCAGTGATTGATATATAACCCTTTGCAAACCAGTCCTTCAGGCAAACAGGACGAGCGAAAAAAAAAATAATACATCAAACAAAACCAAAAATATGGCGTAGAAAGAAAGAATTAGCGAGCATGATGAATGGAATTCTATTTCTAATTATTCAATAGGTACATGTGAAGAATCAATCTTTGTAAAAGGTTTCTACGTGTTTCCAAGTGTGTTATAGTCCATCCATGGAATAAAAAGTGAACMGAACTTTATAAATGAATTAATTAAATGAATCTACATTGTACTCATCTTGTTCGATCAGAGAAAATGCTACATAAACCGAAATCCCAGTAAAAGTARACACTATTTCAGTACTAAGCCTAATAACTTACTTTAATCTGATGCACCCAATTTTCTTGATGTAGATATATGGGACATGATATATTTAATGATCTCCTGCCTTGGGCATCTCTTTACATAACACTTCATATATATATTCCAACTAGGCAGCGTTCTAGGCAGCCTTCGCGGTGCTTTAAATTTRTTCTTTTGCGTTTAGCCTGGCGATTTTTCAGCCCCCCCAAGTTGTTTTTCCCTAGAAATGACACGTACACCAGCTCATCGGGCTATTTTCCAACTCTTGTTTGCGTCAGGACGGACAAGGAATAAGGCGAAAATAAGAACTGATAAAGACAAGTTYCATAGAACTGCTATATAAAAGCATAATACTCCAGTTTCGAATTATCTTCTGTGCAAGCTTAGCTTCARTCAARCACAAATTTCTATTGTCTTCTTTGTACACGGAGTGTCTGCACAACAAATAGGATCTCTGCTGAAGATAAGAATATATTACAATTCTTTCGAGGTTAAGGCTCTTTTATTGTCTTTTTTGCTATTCCAATCAAAAGTGCATTCAATAGACACTGAAACAGAAAATAACAATGGAATATCATCCACTCTTTAATTAGCTGATCAATTTTTTCTTGTACGCTTGGATTCAGATTGATAAATGCATTTCTGATTTCAAAAGAACAACTATGTTGTCTATTTTTGCTTAAACTACTTAAGTCATTGTCTGTCTTTTATGTTCGCCTAACTGACGTTGTCAGATGGGAAAAAGTGACAATATCATCAAATCCAACTCCGAAGTGGATTCGGAGACTATAGTATTCAAAAGTTCTAAACCTAAACATCTAAAACAATAGCGGGCATTATTTGAAGAGATTATTTTATCAAAGAGTCGACAATATTATGTAACTGAAACACTGTTACTCGTAATATTTGCTTTCTCATGCTCCCTTTTGGTTTTTATGTAGTGTTCTCGAATGCGTTTCTTTTTTGAAAGGTGTTTACTGCATACATAAATCAAAAAAGCCGCTTGGCCTGCACATTAGCAATATTTAATTAAAYTGGTCTTTATTGAATGGTATCTTTCAAATGGAATGGAATTACATGCATTTTCGCATCGAATGAAGTAGTGGAAGGATAAAAAGGAAGTAGCAGTTCTGTAATATTTGGTATTCTCTTTACAAAGGCGAAGATTGAACCGTCAAAGTCAGTTAAGTTTAATATATTGGCTTTTACAATTTGTCATTTCATTTATTATGTTTAATTCGTCGAAAGCACACCAGCGAAAACAATGGACGGACCATTTGCTTTTTTGGATAGGGAGAATTKCTGCACAACATTTTCTTCTTCTTCTTTTTTTATTTTTAATCTGCTTGATATATTGCTCTATTTTTTATTTTCTACCAATCATCAARTGGGCCGTCCCAAGCTCTAGGTCACCACAAGTCATCTTTATTCATGAAATATATTTTATAACAGAAATGTTCTAATTCAAACTGGGTCTGAAAAAATATATATTAGCATTGTTCCACTACTGATATAATTAATACATGCAAAAGATCCATAGTTCTACAGCAACTTATGTCACTTTTGCAGAGATCGCAGGGGCAATGTGAGTCCATAATTCTATCGAGATCCTGCACAACATTTTGTTTAATTTAGTGTTTGCCAGGAGGTATGAAGTTATAATAAGACATCTTTAGTTGCTTTCCCTATTTTATGAGAGGTCGACGAATGGTGATCTTGAAAAATKGCTGATTGTAAATGACTRTTTGAGGGRAAAAAATTAAGTCATAGTTTAGTAGCCGTTTAAATTAATTAGTGAGCATCTAGTAGGACTATTTTGATTTTGTTCTGTTCAATGAAGAAATAGATACGTTTAACCCCTTATCTAGAAGTTTCCAGTTTCACACGTTAACACACACAAAACGCAAATACATTTGCCAATAATTCGTAATCAATCAGTCACGCTTTGTAAATTATATTTATAGCAAACTAGGCTAGAAATTTGGAGGTCTATTTTGACCGTTCTTATAGTAATTGAGTAGCAGTTTACATTAATAATTGGCACGGTATCTAGTAGGGCTGTTTCTGATTTTGTTTTATGAAACGAAAAATAGATGTGTTAACCCCATTATCTAGAAGTTTTCAGTTTCCTATAATCGCGCGTCAACATACACAAAAATCAAATACATCTGCCATGAATAATTCGTAATCAATCACGCTTTGTAAACTATTTTCGTACAATATTTGTAGCAAACTAGAAATGTGGAGGTCTATCTTGACAGTCCTCATAGTGGTAGAAGTAGCAACAAGAGAATCCACTGCCGTTGCTGATGATGATTACCGTACAGCATCCATCAAAACAAAGAACAACATGAAGATGGTTGATGGGGATTCTTTACGTAAAATTCAAGTCAATGATCTTTTCGAGTGTGCGCGATGCCTCGCTGCCAAAAGCTGCTATGCAATAAATTATAACACAGTTACAAGAGACTGCTATGTCAGCAACAGTGCTGTGAGTGACAATCACAAAGATATCATATATGCAGTGCAATATATATACGGGGAACTCGTAAGTAAACACTTGGGTAAAATTCATTCTGATAAATATCTAACTAAATAGGTTGCATTTCTTTTTCTCTGAAAGCTCTCGACTAAAGAAAAGCCGTCATCAGGTTGGTAATCAATCTTAAAAAAAAGAAATGTTAGTCTGTTACAATTTGCAAAACACTTAACCTGATTTCAGATATGTTGTCATATGGAAACAGAAAATTTGTAGTAACAAAACAAAACAACAACAACAACAACACTACATTTAAAAGACATAAGAAAGAGGTCGGCTTGCCTGAGTTATATTTTCTTTAAAAGTGTGCTTTAGATGGATTCATTTTCACCTAAACTTAGTGCTCTACTTCTCTACGACAGCGTTTTTTGAAATTAGTTGTACACATCTTACAAAGAAAAAGACAACAGTGAGAATAAAATCTGCACAACTATTGCCTGATGAAAGAAAAGAACAAGTACGAGATATCATTATCGGCACTCGCCTCTTGCATTTTTGGATTACCGTTGGCATAAGAACGATACCGTGCCTAGCCAAAGGCCGCCTAACTATTGCTTGAGAGAGAGAGAGAGAGAGAGAGAGAGA